AATAAGATGGATTAGTGGCAGTTACACTGATGAGGTCTACAAAATTAGATAGTGTCTTAAGCCAATCTCTTTTGAGATATAAAAGAGAGAAGCAAGCAGAGACCCATGGGAACCTCATGCCACCAAGAAAGCAGTGCTGGGAGCAGAGCGCGTCCTTTTGACCCGAGGCTCCTGTGCAAAGAAGCTCCCAGACCAAGGGAAGACTGATGACATGGACCTTTCTCCAGAGCCGATGGAGAAAGCCTTCCCCTGGAGCTGAAGCCCTGAATTTAAACTTGTAGCCTACTGGACTGTGAGAGAATAAACTTCTCTTTGTTAAAGCCATCCACTTGTGATTTTCTGTTATAGCAGCACTAGATGACTAAGACACCTAGATTCATACTTCGTACTTGGAGGTACTTCGTACTCCGTATTTAGAAACAGATACGAAGTGTATACTAGTGTACGCAGTATACACATGTGTTTTAGTCATCTACAAGTGGATGGCTTTAACAAAGAGAAATTTATTCACTCAGAGTCTAGTAGGCCAAAAGTCCAAATTCAGGGCGTCAGCTCCAGGGGAAGGCTTGCTTTCTCAGTCGGCCTTCTCGTCAGTCTTCCCCTGGACTAGGAGCTTCTCCATGCAGGAACCCCGGGTCCAAAGGATGCGCTCTGCTCCCAGCACTGCTTTCTTGGTGGTATGAGGCCCCCAATTCTCTGCTTGCTTCCCTTTCCTTTTATCTCATGAGAGATAAAAGGTGGTGCAGGCCACACCCCAGGGAAACTCCCTTTACATTGGATCAGGGATGTGACCTGGGTAAGGGTGGTGTTACAATCCCACCCTTATACTCTTTAACATAAAATTACAATCACAAAATGAAGGACAACCACACAATACTGGGAATCATGGCCTAGCCAAATTGATGCACACACTTTTGGGGGACATAATTCAGTCCATGACAACATGGTATCGATTTCTAAATCTGTATATCTGTGTATATATTAAACACCATGAATTTGTACTGATACCTTCAATTCCCATCCGTCACCACGGGGTTTATGCTACTTTCCCTCGCCTTATTTGTGATTCTTTCTCTAAGCCTGGCTCCTGCTGCCCTCAATATGTTTACTTACTTGCTCAGTCCTAGAACATGCATAAAGTGATTTCAGAATTGCCAGTCCATACTCCTGTGAAAGACAAACTTAACCAACTACAGTCAAATATTTGTGTTCAGTTACTTTGGTTTTCAGCCCTAGGATGTATACTCGAAATGCTGCTTTCCAGAGTTACTTGAGCATGTTGATGTTATTTATTTGTAATGCAGTTAGACTCACTTGTTTCTGTTTGTATTCCAGTTTGGGTCCTTATTGATTTTAAGTTTTTTTCTTTCTCTCTCTTTATTTTTTTTTTGTTATGTATGACATTCATGTGGTTCTGAAAGTTAGCCAAGCCTCAGCTCTTGTAATACAAGACTATTAAGCTGCTCTTCTATTTTGTTTCTCATTTTGCTTATTTTTTTTTTTTGGTGGGGGACAGGGATTTGGCAAATTTGAATTCAAGGAAAAAAGTACTGCATGCCCTTCGCTGGGTAATGCCCCCAACCTCCAGGAGGTGCCAGGGATGGAATTAAGATTCATTTGTTGCTAATTTGTCTTAGTTCAGGTTTTAAAAATGGGTATGACTACTCTGTGGCAGTCAGGGAAGAGAAGAGAATGATGGCTTGGGGTCACCAGCCCCTAATCTTTTCCCTGTGGGCACATTTAAAGAGTGGGTGCTCTTGGTTTAGCTGATACGGCTCATGCTGGGGCTTCATAGAGCGCTGGGTTGATTGATCTTGTGTACTGAGTGCCGAGCACAGGCGCCACCCTGGGCTTCCCCTCCGTTCCCTCTATGTTTGTATTTAACTGTATTTAAGAAGGAGCCCTGGTGGCACAGTGGTTAAGTGCTCAGCTGCTAATCCAAAGGTCAGTGGTTTGAACCCACCAGCTGCTCCACACAAGAAAGATGTGGCTGTCTGTTTCTGTAAAGATTTACTGCCTTGGAAGCCCTACGTGGCAGTTCTGGTCTGTCCTGTAGGGTTGCTATGAGTTGGAATCGACTTGATGGCAGTGGGTTTACATTTAAGGAGCAAAAAGACAACAGCATTCTTCACCCCAGCTCGATGGGTCTTCTGCATTGGCCATGGGGGGCTTATGTGCTGGTGGCTGAGTGGAGAGCCAGATGCCTTCGGAGGGTAGCTCTTCAGAGGAAGGCATGTGAGAAGCCTCCGTGTTGGATGTCTTCTTGACAAGTCAGGGTGCCTAACATCTCGTTCCCAGGCCTCTAGTGATTTTATGTTTAGCCTTTACATATTGCTGGATAAGCAACTGCATATGTTTTGTTGCATCCTGCAATGCTTTTTCAATTAAGTACTAATGAAATGTTTACTCTAAAAAAAATGCTCCAGCTGAACAGGAGCATGACTAATTCCACCATCGCATCTGCCGATGAGGTGCCCGTGAGTTTGTCTCTGACCATGAGTGTTTCCTTTGCAGCGCTGGCTGTTAGGAGGCGCATGCGTTGGGCACTCCTGAACCAGCAGGCTTTCGGGTCCTGTTGTAAATCTGGCTGAGACTGTGAGATCTCAGAGTCTTCCGCTGGCTGCAGACACTGTTTCCTGGGATCTACCTCAGCCCTTCCCCTGCGTTCTCCATGGAGTGCCCAACCTTGCCTGGTTCCCCTTGCTCTGACGCACTGGCCCACACTCCACGGACACTTTTTGTATCATCGTCTTAGAACCAGAGGCTCATTTGCATGTTCAGTGTGACTGGAGTGAGGTTGAGGCTCGGTAGGCCTTTCTCTGGCCTCTGCTTTGTCCGCTAATGAGACCCCTCTGTCCAGTGCGTCCTCTGCTGCCCATAGGCACATCTGCAGCCTGAATGTTCTCTGTGGGGGAGAAACCATGGCTTTCATGAGGAGTTATTTCCGTTTTCCTGAGACCCACAATTTCAGGCCACACAGGATCTGTTAGATAGAAATGAGGTAGAAAGCTCCAGGTTTTGGAGACGAGAAGTCAGAAGTGACGGAGTCGCTGCCTGCGCAGTTCCAGTCCCTGCTGGGCAGCAGGTCTCCTGGCCCCGGTTCTCCTGGAGGCCTGTGAGCAATCTCTCCTTCAGGTCCCAGCACCGTGTGGCCGTCCTGCCTGAAAACCAGGAGCTTCCTGGGCACCTGCTGGCTGGCAGGCTGGGCCGAGACTGACTCTGATGTTTAAGCCAGTTAACCTCGGCCTCGGGCTCTGGGGGTCATCCTTCGGTGAGCTTTGCACAGACAGCGGGGCAGCTGTCCTGTGGTGGACAGAGGCTCCGGGCACTGACTCGGGCTCCCCTTGTGCACAGGGAGCTTCCCTTCTGCTGGGAGCGCAGTGGAACCTGGCAGAGCAGTTTCTCACTCATTGACGGGCTGAGTCATTCACTAAACATTTATCCAGCAGCTCCTCTCTGCCAGCTCGGACTCTAGGGAAACAGCACACCCAGGCAGGGCTGAGGAGCCTTTCAGGCAGAGAGCAGCACGTGCCCCTCACAGTAACACGCCGGCTCCTGGGAGCCCAGAGGGGCGGGCTGGGCGCAGTGGGCCCATCCGGCTGGGACCTTTGTGTGCCGTGCCAAAGAGATTGAAGCGTGTCCTGAGCGTCGCCTTGAGCAGGACGGCATCACCTCATCGGCCTTCCGTAGTGGGCAGCGGCCGTGTGGTGGATGACCTGGGCGCAACGCCAAGTGCGTACCTCCTGGAGAATGCAGCCCGCTGTGGCTTTGGTCCTGACGAAATATTTCGGGATCCTTCAAATATAAGCCCAGACCGTTTTCACTGTTTCTTTTGTTTTCATTCTTTTACCAAGATATTATAGTAAAGTAGTTTTACCTCTATAACCTGTGTTTTTGTTGTTAGTGATTTCAGAAGTGAAATGAATTTCATGTCTCTGAAAGGCACTATTCTTGCTGATTTAGAGAGTGGCTGCTGGCTTAAGAATTCCAGAGTTAATGTAAAAAGAAAAAAACAAAAACAATCAAGAAATCAGACAACACATCGCATTGGGCAAATCTGCTGCAAAAGACCTCTTTAAAGTGTTAAAAAGCAAAGATGGCACTTTAAGGAACAAAGTGTGCCTGACCCAAGCCATGGTGCTTTCAATCTCCTCATATGCATGTGAAAGCTGGACAATGAGTAAGGAAGACTGGAGAAGAATTGACACTTTTGAATCGAGGTGTTGGTAAAGAACATTGAATATACCATGGACTGCCAGGAGAACAAACAATTCTATCTTAGAAGAAGTACAGCCAGAGTGCGCCTTAGAAGGGAGGATGGCAAGACTGCATCTCAGATACTTTGGACATTTTATCAGAAGGGATCAGTCCCTGGAGAAGGATGTCATACTGGGTAAAGTAGAAGGTCAGTGAAAAAGAGGAAGACCCTTAACGAGATGGATTGACACAGTGGCTGCAACAATGGGCTAAAGCGTAACAATGATTGTGAGGATGGCGCAGGACGCAGCAGTGTTTCGTTCTGTTGTACGTGGGGTCACTGTGAGTCAGAACTGACTCAGCTACACCCAACAACAGCGCTCTGGTTTCTGTTTCTGAGATATGTGTCTTTGTGGGTACTGCTTATGTTGACCAGAGTGGACATGCAGGGTTGGTGCCTGCGGGTGACACGTGGGGTGGGCGAGTACCACCACGCTGAGCCCCCAGGGCGCCTGTCGCACAGGTATGCACGGTGGCTTCAGTGCTGTGCACGCTGCCGCTCACCCAGACGGTGCCCCGTAAACGCTGTGAAGTGGTGCATCAAGATGACCTGGAGAGAGTGTGGGACGTCTTTCTCTTTGAAAGGAGGCTCCTCACAGTGGGTCAGGCATGTTAAGTTCTCTGGACGGGAATGACGCTTGGATGTCTCTGCCTGACCCCCGTTCCCGTCTTCCCCGGCCCTTCTGGAGAAGTGATGGGAGGGGAGGACATCATTCCAGCTGCCTGCTCGGAGGGGACGGCCAGAAGCACGCCCAAACCTGCCTGGCCTCGTGTGTGGTGTGGCTGGGGGTGTCCAGTGGGTGGCCCCCCGCCTTTCAGAGTGTGGCCTCTGATGGATTTGGTGCAATAAGGCCGAAGGCGGGGTGCTGAGCAGCTTGTGTGTCAGAACCAGCTCCATCTGCCGAGTGATCTGATGGGAGTGGACCAGGAGAGTCTAGGCGTCTCCAGAACGTACACTCTGCCGTGGCGTGGGGCAGGCTGTGCACCCGGTCCTCAGCGGGGCACACAGACACAGAGAGCAGGAGGCCCCTGGACGCTGGTTAGCGATCTGACAGAGTGACCCTGAGAGCGAAGAATGCGCTGTGTTTCGTGTCTTTGCGTTTGGAATTGCATTCTCTAGCCTCTTGTTTTACTGTGTTTTACAGAAGTGCCAGCCCACGACAGACTGGAGATCAGGGACGCACACACACCTGCTCTGCTGGCATCTGCCCCGCCGGGCGGTGAGTCTCAGGACATGGCCCCAGCTCCAGGAGGGGAGCCAGGGGTGGGGGGTGCTGGCCCCACAGGGGCTGCCTGGGCTGCAGCCCTGGCTCAGCGATCGGCAGCCCCAGTTTTCTCATCTGCAGAGCGGACGTGGTTAAGAGCAGCCTGGTAGGCGGCACACAGAGCTTCTCTCTTGACTTCCTCTGCTCTGTGGTGAGAGTGTGCAGACTGAGGGCCCAGCCTGCTGACCAGCCGGGCGCGGGCGAGCCCCTCCCAGCTCGGGGCGTGGCCTGCTGCAGGACTCAGGTTTGGCCAGACCTCAGGGTGACGGGCTCTGAGCTGGGTGCAGTGGAGGGACGTTGGAGCCCAGCCTGAGTCCGAACCTGCCCTCTCCACACGGTTGCCACCATGCTGCCCTCGGAGCAGGCCCTGGAGGAGCTGCTGGCCCACAAGGAGGAGGAGTGGCGGGCGCTGCAGGCCCGCCGTGCCCAGCTGCAGGGTGCCGCCCTGCAGGATGTGCAGCGCCGGCTGGAGGACGCGCAGGGTCAGCTGCGGCGCCTCCGGGAGGACTTTGTCTACAACCTGCAAGTGCTAGAGGAGCGGGACCGCGAGCTGGAGCATTATGATGCTGCCTTCGCCCAGACCCAGCGCGCAGAGGAGGCCCGGCAGGCGGAGGCCAGCGAGCTCAAGATCGAAGCGGCCAAGCTGAGGCAGGCGCTGGCCCGAGAGGCCCGGCGGGCAGATGAGCTGCAGCAGCAGCAGCAGCTGACGCTGCAGGAGCATCGCCGGGAGCTGGAGCGCGTGCACAGGTGAGCCCGCGCAGACGTGCCCCTCTGACTGCCCGCTGCCCCGGCTGTGCTGCCTGGCACTGCCCGCTTGAGACCCCACTGCCCCTGCTGTGGATGCCAGGCTATGGGGCTCTTGGTCTCACTTGCGGAGGTCTGTGAGATTTGTGTACACAGCCCTGAGCACGTACTTGCCGAGTGAATGTGGACAAGGGTGGCTTTTCTGAGTTCCAATGCCGTGCTGAAACCATGGAAGATTGGTTTAAGTGTGTGGAATTTTTTTCATTGATTGCAAGCCTACATTTTAATTAAACATATTCCAGCTTGTAATGATTTTAATGATGTGAAACATTAATTTCAGAACGAAATGGGCTGATTTCAGGCACACCAACAAGACGACCTTACACACTTGTCTGTAGGCTCACCACCCGTCAGTGGCCTCAGTGCAGCTGCACCTGCCCAGGTGTCGCGGTGAGCCAGCAGCTGGGGGGCTCCGATGAGACAGTAGAGGGTGGAGTCCAGGCTTCATTTAAAAACCACTCACTTCAGAAGTAGTGTGTGCTCAGTGTGTCCCTGCTAACAGTGGGAGTGTCCTCCTGGTGTGTGTGATGTGTGTGTGTTTAGAACGTAAAAATAAGAGCTTACTGCAGGCTCTTTTTCACTGATCAAGATCCTGAATATTTTTTCATGTTACGTATTCTTCCAGTGTAAACAGTATTTTTAAGAAATTGTTTAAATCACAAAAGTGACATGTTCTCAGGGTCGAAATTCAGACTGGATGGGAGACTGTGCAGTGGGAAGCAGACACAAGGATGGCTGTGAATGGTCCTGCTGTGGGTGGTCCTGCTATGAGCTCCCCACTGTGCGTGGTCTGCCGTGCAAGGTCCCACTGTGAGCGACCTGCTGTGTATGATCCGCTGTGTGCGTGGTCCTGCTGTGAGCTACCCACTGTGCGTGGTCTGCTGTGCAAGGTCCCACTGTGAGCAACCTGCTGTGCATGGTCCGCTGTGCGTGGTCCTGCTGTGCGTGATCCGCTGTGTGCAGTACCACTGTGCGTGACTCGCTGTGCATGGTCCCTCTACATGTGGTTCACTGCACATGGTCTGCTGTGCGTGGTCCCACTGCGCATGGTCCCACTGTGGGTGGTCCACTGTGCGTGGTGCCTCTGCACATGGTCTGCTGCATGTGGTCAGCTGTGCGTGGTTCTGTGCATGATCCCGCTGTGTGGTCAGCTGTGCATGGTTCTGCTGTGCGTGGTCCCACTGTGCATGATCCCGCTGTGTGTGGTCAGCTGTGCGTGGTCCAGTGTGCATGGTCTGCTGTGTGTGGTCAGCTCTGCATGGTCCGCTGTGCATGGTCAGCTGTGTGGTCTGCTGTGCATGGTCTGCTCTGTGTGGTCTGCTGTGCATGGTCCCACTGCACATGGTTCGCCGTGCGTGGTCCCACTGTGCGTGGTCAGCTGTGTGTGGTTCTGCTGTGCGTGGTCTGCTGTGCATGGTCCCACTGTGCATGGTCCACTATGTGTGGTCCTGTTGTGAGTGGTTCTGCTGTGCATAGTTCCTGTTGCGCATGGTCTGCTGTGCGTGGTCAGCTGTGTGTGGTTCTATTATGTGTGGTCCCACTGTGTGTGGTCCGCTGCGCGTGGTCAGCTGTGCGTGGTCCGCTGTGCATGGTCCCACTGCACATGGTCCTCTGTGCATGGTCTGCTGTGGGTGGTCAGCTGTGCGTGGTCTGCTGTGTGTGGTCCTCTGTGCATGGCCAGCTGTGTGTGGTTCTGCTATGTGTGGTCCCACTGCACATGGTCCGCTGTGTGTGGTCCTGTTGTGCGTGGTCCTCTGCGTGGTCAGCTGTGCGTGGTCTGCTGTGCGTGGTCCGCTGTGCGTGGTCCACTGTGCATGGTCCCACTGCGCGTGGTCCTCTGTGCATGGTCAGCTGTACGTGGTTCTGCTGTGTGTGGTCCTGTTGGGCGTGGTCCGCTGCGCTCTCTCTAGGGGGGTTCACTTTCACACCCACATAGAGTCACCCTACACACTGCTCTGCACCTTGTTCTCATCGGCCCATCATGTTTTTGGCATCTTTTCATACCATTGCACTTGGTTCTGCCATGGTCTTTGAACTGGTTACCTGGCGCTCTGGTGTATGCTCTGCCTGCCATTTACACGCTGCTGCCTGCTTACTTACCAGGGGGTTTCTGCAGCCTCTCAGGTGCTGGGAAAGGAGGCGCACCTTGGGGGACATGCGGCCACCTTGACGTGGAAACCTCTTACCTGCAGGAGCCATTGTCTCTTGTACCCACAGATGTAGCTTCCGAAGTCTCTGCAACTGGCTTGGCCTGTCCCAGCCACTGCCTTGGGGAAGCACGAAGTATTTAGGGTTGCCTCACTGTTTCTCCCAGTCCAGGCGGACTTTACCAGGCATGGGTCATTTTTGTCCAAGCAATGCTGCTTAGTAACCTTCTTCACACACATACCACCTGTGTGTATGAAGGAGCTAGAGCGTTCTCTCCTAGTGAGGAGAGGTCTTGATAGCCGTTCTCCCGGACCATGGACGTGGACATTCAGGTTGTCCCCGACTTTGACTGTTGAAACGTCCCGTGAATTTTAGGTCAGCGATAGGTACGTTTGACATGGTGACGGTTGTTGGCAAAGTGCCCTCCGTGAAAGTACCGATTTTCTTTCTCACGGCCACGTTCGAGAGTGTTTAAAGCATCTTTCAAAAAATATTTTACATTATTTTGTAATGTGTCTCCTTGGGTTTTTGTCCATTCTTTTTTTACTGCAGTTGGGAAGTTTTCAGCCATTATTTCTTCAATGCCTTTTCAGCCCCACACTCTTTCCTTTCATCTTGCCACTCGGATGACACAGATGTGGATCTTTTGTTACTGCCCACAGCCCCTGAGGCTCTGCTTGGTTTTTGTTCCATCTGTTTCCTCTGTTTAGATTGAGTACTGTCTGTTGTTCTGTCTTCACATCCATGGTCCTTCCTCTGTGTAAAATGATGTGGTGGCATCTGACCTCATCCAACTTCAGGAGGGAAGAATCATTGTCATCAGCCCAAAGCTGGTCCCTGTGAGGCGGAGGTCAGACATAACCTCCACCCTCCAACCTTTATACCAATTGTACACAGCCACGACTCCCACGGCACTCTCTACTCCTCTGCTGGGTTCAATAGCAGCGGCCACACGGAACTCACAGACCATACTCATAGCTCTGGGGTTTATTAGGGAAGTAACAGGTTACAATTCAGTAACAGGAACGACTCAGGATACAGTTCTTTGGTCAGGACAGCTTCTCTGCCATGCCTGCAGGCAGGCCTCTCTCTAGGCTCTTGGCCCCTCGGCCCCTCAGCCTCTGCCCTGCCCTGCTCAGGCAAGTGTTACAAAGCTCTTTAGCTTGGCCAGTAAGCACCCAGAGGCACCCCACTCTGCCAGTAAGCCTCGGGCCCGAAGACACTCAGCTCTCTCACTCTGTGGGTCAAGGAGCCTAGCTCCACCAAGTGCCCAGAGGCACCCGACTTCGCCAGAAAGCCTTCTTCCCTAAGGTGCTCAACTCTCTTGCTCTGTGGGTCAGTACGCCCACTGTAGCCGCTGTGGGCCAGGAAGCACACTGTGCTGTCTTACGCCAGTCTCCTGGTTTTGCTGCCACTGCTGCTTGCCGTCTCTGGTGTTATAGCTCTGTCTCTGTCTCCTGGGTCTAGGAGATTCTCAGCACAGGGACTCAGGGTCCAAAGGAGATGCTCTGCTCCTGGCTGTTCCTGGTGGTAGTGAGGTCCCCATGTCTGCTTCTGGGATTGGCTCCCTTTAAGCCTAGCAGAATGGCAAAACTGACCAATCCCCTTGCTAGGATTCCATACACCTTATTTGCATGGTCCACCCCCACAAGGGTTCCATGAACCTTATTTGCATTATCAGCATGTTGTCTGTCTTAGGCTGGGTTCTCTAGAGAAGCAAAACCAGTAAAGCGTATAAATATGTGTATATACAGAGATTTATATCAAGGAAATGGCTCCCGTGGGTTTTAGAGGCTGTAACGTCCCAAGTCCATGGGGCAGGAAAGAGGCTTTTCTGGATTCACATAGCTGCAGGGGCTGGTGAACCCAAGATTGGCAGGCCGGAAAGCAGTGCTGTTACAGGCTGTGAATAACAATGAATCTCAAGATCAGCAGGCAAGACTGCTGGTAAGCTGCTAGCCCAAGTCCCAAGAACTGGAGGTCAGACGAACAGGAGCTAGCTTCAGGATCCAGAACAAGCAAAAGCCCCGGCAAAGAGAGCAGGAAGGACTAAGTGGTGGAGGGCTGAGAGATGAAGGCTGAGGGGGCAGTGAGCTGCCACAGGCTTCGCCCCAACCAATACCACTCAGCAGATCCCATCATGGGGGTGATCACATATCAAGTCTCAACAAGGAAGTGATCACAACATTGTTCGACTGCCAAAACACTGAGAATCATGTTTTGATCATATGCCCAGCCAAGCAGACACACAGTCTTAACCATCACACTGTCCAGTCCCCTTGGTGGGCCACAAGTATTTTATTTGCATAGTCTCACCCAGTCATTTTGTGGGAGTCACAAGACCATGCCTAGAAAGGCCATTTAAAGTAATTCACTGCCCGCTTTCTGCCACATTCGTTCTGCTACTGAGTCCATCCAGTGAAGCTTATATTTTGGTTATTTTCAGTTCTCAGATTTCCATTTGATTTTTTGTTGTGTCTTCTTTTTATTTGCTGAGACTTTCAGTTTCTCTGTTTTAAGAGTGTACTAAATTGCTTACTGAAATGTTTTTGTGATGGCTTCTTTAAAACCCTTGTCAGGTAATTCCAACACCTGTGTCACCTTGGTGTGTCAGCCGACTGTCTCTTCTCATTTGAGTTGAGATTTTCCTGGCTCTTGGTCCTGTTCTTGGTATGATGTGTGATTTTTTATTATATTTGGGACATTTCAGGTATTATATTTTGAGACTCTAGATCCCATTCATCTTTTCTTTGCTGACGGTCACACTGTTTGGGTCCAAGTGGGGGGTAGATTTTCAGCTCCCCACTAGGCCCTTCTGATATTGCCCAGGTGAAAGTGGGGCACCAGCACACATTGCTGCATTGTCACTGGGAGCCCACCGACCGGGGTGGGGAGATGTGGGGGGAGTGGAGTGCCAACGAGTACTGTCTTGTTGCCCCGACTGGGCCCCACCAACACCACCCCACAAATGGATGCTATGGTGGCTGTTAAGTATATGTGTTCTTACTGCCGTGTTTGTTACCACAGTGACAAGAACAGTGAAATTGACTGCCATCGGGAACAGTATGAACAACTGACGTGGAAACTGAAGAGGAGACTTCAGGAGCTCGATGGGGAGCTTGTGCTGCAGAAACAGGTGTGCGCCTTGGGCTGAGTCCCATGTCGGGGCTCCTGCCTGCCTGCCCCCGTGGCATCTGGACGGTCGGTGATGAGGAGAAGGCAGCCATTTTGTTAACTGAATATCTTACCCGGAGAGTGGAAGTTGAATTACTGGGCAGATTTCCACTCTGGCAGTCTGGAGGGAACTGTGTTGGGGCATCCAGTCTTCCTTGTGGTGACTCCCAGAGCGCTCTCTGTCCTCAGAAATGAGTACATGACATTTCCTGGGTTTAGGAAAATATTACAGAGTAAACACTAGAGTTACTTACTGTAAGTTTATATATAGATGTGTCAGCTGACAGGCGACTCTCAAGACTGTCACCAAAATTTCTCCTCAAAGTCTTTGAAACTTAGCCTGTACCTCCAAGAAACTCATTCTGCTGGGAGGTTGGCTGAAAGATACCCTCTCACCAGGTTCCACGTTTTGCAGTGCCACGTGTGTGCGGGTGTGGACATGAGCGTGGTGTGCGTGTATGCAAGTGTAGACGTGATGGGTCCTCTCGCTCTTGGTTTGCTGTGGATGTGGCAAGCTCACACTGTAGTGGTGACAAGCTATGTGTGGGGAGTCTTCCCCACAAAGCCCCCTCTGCACATCCCTGAATCCCTGTGCTCCTCAGCAGTGTCCCTCACAGAGACACGGCATGACCCCCAGTTTGCAGGGGGAGCTGAGGTATGACGTGACCTGCCCAAGGTCTCCAGCTGGTCAGCAGAGGAGCTGGTGTTTGAATCCAGGTAGTCCTGCCTCAGGGCATACTCGTGCTTCTGACCCCCAGTTCTGGGTGGCTGTTGTGTCTTTTGCTGGGATCACGTTGGTTCTCTCAGGGACAAGCTGACCAGAGGCCAGCTTATGTGGCCACGTCTGCCCTTCCTGAGCGAGGGGCGCCAGCGAGCCATGTCACCATGAGTTCGTCTCTCATCTGTTGATGAATGTGTCATGGGGCACGTTTCTGGAGCCCCATTTCAGCTCCACCTGGGCTGGGGAGCAGCTGTCCCCAAAGGTACATACACCCTGTGCTTGTGGGCCCCTCCTGCTGGTGAGAGGCCAGACTGCTGTGCATGGTGCCTCAGCCCCGAGATGGAGGCAGGGAGGGGGTAGGACAGTATCCTGGAGGAGTGAGCACCCCCACCCCAGCTGTGCTGTGACCACGCACCCCTCTGCTGCCACACGGTCGAGGGCACTGGCAGCGAGGACGTCACGGGGCTTATTGCAGCCGTCGGGGACGTGGCGTCCAGTGCATGGGCCCTCCGTCCCCGAGGTGCTTCCCTTGTCCTCCGCGATACCGCCGCCGCCGTTCACTCCCTCTTAGAACTTGGAGTGGCCTTCAGAGACCTTTAGAAATTCTCAGGGAAAAAAGTGCTTTGTCCGTCATGGGCTGGTTGACTTCTGGGAGCAGATAGAGGTCCCTGGGACCAAGCCTGGGCTGGAATGAGTCATCAGGAAGGCTGGTGTCACCTTCTGAGGTGTAAAGGCCCCTCCCACATAGCCCCAGGTCACCTCAGAGAAGGGGGGTTGAACGGGCTCTGGTGGTGGGGGACCGTCAGCAGGCAGTGCTCTGAGGGTGGGCCTCCCTGGGGCCTGCTACTCTGCTGTGGTCTGGGCGGGCTCCAGCCTCTGCCCTCGGACCTTCCCTCTCCCATGCAGTGGAGTCAGTGGGGGCCGCTGCAGGGGAGGAAACTGGGTGGCTACTCTTCCAGCTTCTGCCTCCACCAGGCTGCTGCCAGAGGTGGCCCCGGCATGCTGGCGGTGCCTCCGCTCAAACTCTGTTCAACGGCCACTTCTGCTGTTTGCCATTGTTAGTCGGGGGTCTTGGGGTCTTGTCATTATTAGTCGGGGGTCTTGGGCTCTTGTCATTATTAAACGGGGGTCTTGGGCTCTTGCCATTGTTAGTCGGGGGTCTTGGGCTCTTGTCATTGTTAGTCGGGCGTCTTGGGCTGTTGTCATTGTTAGTCGGGGGTCTTGGGGTCTTGTCATTGTTAGTCGGCGGTCTTGGGTCTTGTCATTGTTAGTCGGGTGTCTGGTGCTCTTGTCATTGTTAGCTGGGGGTCTGGGGCTCTTGTCATTGTTAGTCGGGGGTCTTGGGCTGTTGTCATTGTTAGTCGGGGGTCTTGGGCTGTTGTCATTGTTAGTCGGGCGTCTTGGGCTCTGGTCATTGTTAGTCGGGGGTCTTGCGTGCGCGTCTCTCCTTGTCCCCTTTGGGCTGGTTCCCTGTCTTGTTGGAAAGTTCTTTGGGCTCCTGACTGACTTGTCAGAGGTAGAACTGACACACTGGGGTGAGTGACATTTCTCCTGAGAAAGGAAACCTGAGATGGTGGTGACCGAGGGCGTCCGTGTGGCCTATTGTCTACGTAGGTCGTAGACTGTGGCCTTAGAGACGTTTCCTGGTTGGTCAGCAGGCCCAGGGATAGACGCTGCTGGAGGAAAAGCTGAAGATGGATCGATTGTTCATCCTTTGACAAGGGTTTACAGACTGAGGCGCGCGCCGGGCCCGTGGGCCCTGGAGGCAGCAGTGGGCACTGTGCGCACCATCCCTCCAGGGGCTTACACTCTAGGGGGCACCGAGCATGACCGAACCCAGAAGGGAGACGTGTAGCTTGGCTTCTGAGGGCCTTCCCTGCTGTGGATGAGGTGGGGCAGCATCTGAACAGCGGTCGGGAGGGGCCTGAGCAAAGATCTGAGGGGGTGAAGGGTGGGTTGTGGCAATCTGGATGGTGGAGGAGAGTGCTCAGATGAGGGAGGCTGAGGCAGGTAGCTTCTGGGGAGCCCCGGGGCCAGGTCGGCCAAGAGGAGTGTTCACAGAGGGGATAGGGCTGCGAGGGGCCTTGGCTCCAGGGGAGACCAGAATCTATGGGGCCGAGTGGAGGAGTGGAGTCCTGTTTCCAAAGTCCACCTGTTTGTTGGATTGAACACAGGCAGGGCCGTGGGAGGCTGACCGCGCAGTGGGGCGGCGGCTTTTGTCCCTTTGTCTGTGGGGAGGAAACCCGTCCCTGTCTGGGTCCCTGGCTCTCTGGAAGCCTTTCTCCTCGCGGGCTCGGCTCCCACAGGGCGCCTGCCCCCTAGTGGCCGCGGTTGCTCTCGTTTTCTCAGGCTTTGCATCCGGGGCTTCCGGAACGGCTCCTGGCACAGGGCCGTCCGTGGGAACGAGCATCACCTTTCACTCTGGATTAGAAATGCTGGTAAAGTCGGTGTGAGAACTCAGGGCGGATGGGCGGGGAGGAGCAGACCAGCTCCAGCGTCGGGCCGAGTGTGGGCTGCCCTCCTGTGTGGTCCCCATGTCTTGCTTCTCCTTGTAGCCAAGTGGCAGCTCTCACTGCACTGGGGGCCGCGGGACTAAGGGGGAGCCAGCAGCAAGCAGCAAGGGGAGCAGAGGATGCCCCGGGTGAGAAAGCGGGCCACACCCAGGGCCACTGGAGAGGGGTCCGCCTGTGGCGGCTCTCCTCTCTGTGTACCACGTGACCGGCTGCACTGTACGTACAGCAAGACCCAGGGGCCGAAAGGGGGACGGAGGCAGACTGCCCCTGCTGTGGGGACAGCGGGCAGCTCTTGGTTGCTGTTTGTGCAGACCCTACAGGTCACCGGTCCTTGTCTAGAAGCCGAGGGAAGTCATCGGCCCTGGGTGGACAGCAGCCTCCCTCTGCCGGGCTCCTTGACTCACCCCACCCTCTGGGGTGTTTGCCAGCTTCTGCCCTGGTGCTGTGGGTCCAGGCTGCCCCCCGACAAGTGGCCCGGTGGTCCTCTTGGAGGGCCTGCCTCACGAGTACCCTTCTCGTAGGCGCTTCTGGTGGAGTTTGAGTCCGAGATGCAGAGGAGGGAGCGTGAGTCCCGTCTGCAGGCTGACGCCATGAGCAACACGGTCCTGACGCAGGAGCTCAAGGTAACGGAGCGTCTCTCCAGTGCCTCAGTGGGAGCCCCGTCCCGGAGTCTGAGTTAGACCGGCCGCCGCCTCTGTACCTACGGGGGGTAAGGGGGGGGCACACGAGGAGCACCGCGCGCAGCTGACAGTTCCCCGCCCCCTCAGAGGATTCCTCCTGCCACAGAGCCAGCACGCTGTCCCCGAGACTGTGGAGAAGCACGCTCCCTCTGGGCTAAACCCACAATTCCCTACCTCAAACAGGGAAGTTCATGTTACCTCGTGAACTTCTCAAGACAGGTCACATCCCTGCGTGTGTTGCGGCCCGAGCAGCGCCCGTTCCTGCCTATGCTGGCGGCCCTGGCACCAGGAGGGGGAGCGGGCTGTGGGCAGGGGACCTGTGGACCCCCAATGCTGCATTTAAGTGTGTAATATTCACATCAGTTGCTAAGAAACGGAACGAGCGGGATTCAGCTGGTCTCCTGCATGATGGATGGGCTTGGCGCAGTCTGGCACTGCGGTGGAACTGTGGCCTGAGTCACGGGTGCAGAGGGCCCTCGGAGGCACCACAGGAGTGTGGGGACATTGTCACTGTTGTACTTCTCAAATTTTGATTTTCCTTCTCTCTCCCGTTCCTGGCATAACAGCAATGTTGTTGTTGTTAAGGTGCTATTGAGTCGACTCATAGCGACCTGGGCGCAACAGAATGAAGCGCGGCCCAGTCCCGCGCCGTCCCCATGGTCGTTGCTACGCTGGAGCCCACTGTTGCAGCCACCGTGTCAGTCCATCTCGTGGAGGGTCTTCCTCTTTTTCTCTGACCCTCCACTTTTCCAAGCATGATGTCCTTCTCCAGGGACTGGTCCCTCCTGACAACACGTCCAAAGTATGTGAGACAAAGTCACCCTTCTAAGGAGTATTCTGGCTGTACTTCTTTCAAGACAGATGTGTTCGTTCTTCTGGCAGTCCATGGTACTTTCAATATTCTCCACCAACACCATAATTGAAAGGCGTCAATTCTTCTTCAGCCTAAGGCGACTGAAAATACCATGGCTTGGGTCAGGCACACCTTATTCCTCAAACTGACATCTTTGCCTTTTAACACTTTAAAGGAGTATTTTGCAGCAGCAAGGTTGTGTCATGTGCGTATCGCAGGTTGTTAATGAGTCTTCCTCCAATCCTGACGCTCCCTTTCTTCTCCATAGAGTCCGGCTTGTCCAATTATTTGCTCAGCATACAGATTGAATAGGTATGGGGAAAGGATACTACCCTGACACACACCTTTCCTGACTTTAAACCGCGCAGTATTCCCTTGTTCTGTTCGAACTGCCTCTTGATCTATGGACAGGTTGCTCAGGAGCACAATTAGGGGTTCTGGAATTCCCATTCTCCGCAATGTTGTCCATAATTTGTTATGACCCACACAGTCGAATGCCTTTGCATAGTTAATAAAACACAGGTAAACATCTTTCTGTTATTCTCTGCTTTCAGCCAGGATCCACCTGACATCAGCAATGATATCCCTTGTCCCACATCCTCTTCTGAATCTGGCTTGACTTTCTGGCAGTTCCCTGTCGATATACTGCAACTGTTTTTGAATTATCTTCAGCAAAATTTTATTTGCATGTGATATTAATCATATTGTTCGATAATTTCTGCATTCTGTTGGATCACCTTTCTTTGGAATGGGCATAAGTATGGATCTCTTCCAGCTGGTTGGCCAGGTAGCTGTCTTCCAAATTTCTTGGTATAGGCATCTGAACACTTCCAGTGCTGTACCCGTTTGTTGAAACATCTCGATTGGTATTCGGTCAATTCCTGGAGACTTGTTTTTTGCCAATGCCTTCAGTGCAGCTTGGACTTCTTCCTTCAGTGCCATTTGTTCTTGATTATATGCTACCTCCTGACACGGTTGACTGTCGGCCAGTTCTTTTGAGTACAGTGACTGTGTCTTCCTTCTAATGTTTTTGATGCTTCCTGTGTTGTTCTGTATTTGCCCATAGAGTCCGTCAGTATTGCAGCTCAAGGCTTGAATTTTTTCTTCAGTTCTTTCAGTTTGAGAAATGCTGAGCATGTTCTTCCCTTTTGGTTTTCTAACTCCAGGTCTTTGCACATTTCATTATAATACTTTTCTTTGTTTTTTTGAGCTGCCCTTTGAAATCTTCCATTCAGCTCGTTTACTTCATCATTTCTTCTTTTTGCTTTAGCTGCTCCGTGTTCAAGAGCAACTTTCAGAGTCTTCTGACATCCATTTTGGTCTTTTCTTTCTTTCGTATCTTTTTAATGACCTTTTGCTTTCTTCATGTCTGATGCCCTTGATGTCATTCCGCAACTCATCTGGTCTTCAGTCATTAGTGTTCAATGCATCAAATCTATTCTTGAGATGGTCTCTAAATTCAGGTGGGATATACTCAAGGTCCTACTAGGAAGAAGAATGGCAATACTTACCTCCAGGAGCTCCTCAACTTGTCCCGACTGTGTCCTTGTTTACATTTTTTTTTTTAATCTTTCGAAGATTAAAGTATTGAGGAAAGAGCTTGAGGCCTTGAAGGAAGCTGGCGCTGAGGTTGCGGAGTCTCTGCAGAGAGCAGAGACTGCCAATGCAGAGCTGGAGTGCGAGGTGGCGCGCAGGGACCGGGAGCTGCAGGACCTCATGGCCGTGAAGGATGCTCGGTGCGTGGTGTGGCCTGGGTCTAGAGCTCTGCCCTTTCTGCCTGTTCCAGCCTGGCCTTTGCTTTGGTCCCTTACCTGCTCTGTGCACTCACGTTTGCTTCTTTTTTAGGATAAAGGACTTAGAGGGCAAGCTCCACTCTGCACAACTGACCCGGGCGAAGGAGGAGGAAGCCTTCCAGAGGAAGTGAGTGTTCCGCCTCTGTCTGTGGCGTAGTGGGGACGGGAGCTGGCTGTGCAGAGGGCGTGGCCGTGGCCGCAGACTTGCTGGTCTGGGTTGGCTTTGTCACTTCTGCCGATGGCCGGGCAGGGATGGGAGCTGGCTGTGCAGAGGGCGTGCCCGTGGCCGCAGACTTGCTGGTCTGGGTTGGCTTTATTGCTTCTGTCGATGGCCCGGTGGGGACGGGAGCTGGCTGTGCAGGGGGCTGTGGCCGTGGCCGCAGACTTGCTGGTCTGGGTTGGCTTTGTCACTTCTGCCGATGGCCAGGCAGGGACAGGAGCTAGCTGTGCAGAGGGCCGTGGCCGTGGCCACAGACTCACTGGTCTGGGTTGGCTTTGTCACTTCTGCCGATGGCAGGGCAGGGACAGGAGCTAGCTGTGCAGAGGGCATGACCATGGCTGCAGACTCGCTGGTCTGCGTTGGCTTTATTACTTCTGCCGATGGCTGGGCGGGGATGGGAGCTGGCTGTGCAGAGGGCATGACCATGGCTGCAGACTCGCTGGTCTGCGTTGGCTTTATTACTTCTGCCGATGGCTGGGCGGGGATGGGAGCTGGCTGTGCAGAGGGCATGACCATGGCTGCAGACTCGCTGGTCTGCGTTGGCTTTATTACTTCTGCCGATGGCCGGGCAGGGATGGGAGCTGGCTGTGCAGAGGGCATGACCATGGCTGCAGACTCGCTGGTCTGCGTTGGCTTTATTGCTTCTGCCGATGGCCAGGCGGGGACGGGAGCTGACTGTGCAGAGGGCCCCGGTCATGGTTGGCTGCAGACTCGCTGGTCTGGGTCGGCTTTGCTTTCTGCTCAGGACTTCCTCAGTGACGACGTGTAGGCCTTATAATGGGTTTTTGGTTTGTTAGTTTTTAGTTTTATAACCAGTTTATCAATTTAAGATTGCAGTAACAAATTTAACTTTGGCTACACAATCGCATTTGTTTTTTAAATTATTGCAGCAAAATAATTGGAAGGCGTGGCCCTGCAGTACAGCCAGCAAGGCCTCCATGGTTGGCACCGCGGGGTGTCCAGGGAGACCCAGTCAATAGACCGTGTGGTGACCCAGAGTCAGGGTCACCCTGACATAGCAGCTCGAGACCCCCACCCAAGCCAAGCCATGAGGGCAGAACAGAGTGTGGTGGGCCTCAGGAGAGGGGAGGTGGGGGCCAGGTGGGCTTTGTGGAGGGGTAGACCTCAAGTACAGGTCAGTTAGAAGGATGCCCCAGTCTGGAGGGGTGAGGGGTCCCGGTAAACCGAGGGGCAGTCTCTGCATCAGCTGCTGCTGTAAGAGGGAGTCCCTTTTCTTTGCTACCGTGACTCTGTGCAGAGGTGTGAGGTGATCGCGACAGTGCTGTGTAATGAAGCGGGCGGGGGTGTGAATCACGGTGTTTTCTGCCTGGTTGCCATGATGTTTGTCAACATATGCAGATTGAGAAGAAACACTTCAAACCCTGCCCATTGTCTGCTTCTCAGCCTGTCACCAGACCCGTAGCTGGAAATGCTGTGGAGTCTGTGGTGGGAGCCACGGGGTGCAGAGCAGACGTGTGGTGCCAGCACAGCACACTCACCAGTGGAGGAAACTGTGGTGGGTGGGCGGATGAGCAACAAGAACAGAGCATGGCCAGTGGGTGCCCGAGCAACGTGAGCAGAGCATGGTCGGTGGGCGAGTGTGTGGGCAGCGTGAGCAGGGCGTGGCCGGTGGGCGAGCGGGCGCGCAAACAGAGCAAGCAGAGCCCGGCCGGCGGGCGGGCGCGTGGGCAGCGTGAGCAGAGCGTGGCCGGTGGGCGGGCGCGTGGGCAGCGTGAGCAGAGCGTGGCCGGTGGGCGGGCGCGTGGGCAGCGTGAGCAGGGCGTGGCAGGCAGGATGGGCCAAGCTCATCTGCACGCCCATGAAGGGAGTTGTGGAAACACTGTCCTCTTCGTATATTTCAAAGCTGCATCTGGGATTCTTGATCATGTGCTTCAATAGTTGAAAATGACTGTAATTTCTAGCACGTTATAAATATTGATGTGAAAATTAGAACCATTGAGTTACTCCTTTGGTTGTACCTGGTGTAACCCAAGCACCGTATTGACCCGACCTGAAAACACGCGGCAGACAGGCTCCTCTCCAGCCGCCAGGGGTGTCACTCCTGGGCTGGCACTTCTTCCGGCTCCCGCACTCGTAGGAATGAATGTGTTTCTCATGCTTGAAGACCTCTGAAACCAGTCACCCGAGATAGGTTCACGTAAACTAGAAACAGTAGCACGGGCTCCACACGCCGGGAAAGGTTTCCAGCAGAGAGACAGCAGCACACTGCACCAAACAACATATTATAAAATGAGACGTTGTTAAATAAAACGTAAAGGGTCGTGGGACATCCTGCCTAACGAAGTGAGAGGCATCCCCCACGGCCTCCGTGCTTACCCACTCAAACGGCCAGACCGGAGCAGGGGGAGGAGGGGCGGGTGGGGAGGCAGGGGGTGGGTGATCGCCCGCGCTCAGAACTCCTTCCGAGTTAGGAGCCAAACACCATATGGTGACCTCCTCTTAGCAGTCTGCCGCTGATGGGCCAGTGCGGGCCTCCAGCTCTGGGAAGGCCGAGACCTGGAAATCACCGCCTGGGAGAGGTCTGGGACCCAGTCATCCGATCGCTCATTTCCTCCTTTTCTGGAAGGTTTATGTAAAAGGCCTCACCAAGCCTTGTCGAAGGACTGTTAAACAGACTGATATGTTTCCACTCAGAGGCACGTGTAAGCCCCAGTATACCCCAAAAGCATGAGGAAATGGAAGTAGAGGCCTGTTTGCTGGGAAGCCACTGTCCGGCCAGGCTGGCTTTGCAAGAGAGTCCAACTTGGTCTTCTTTCACGCGGGCGTGTCTGTTTGGAGGAGTTTCGCAGAACTCTGAGAAGTGCACTGGGGACCCTCGCTCGGGTCAGTCAGCACCCGTGTGTGTGTGGGTCAGGAACCCTGCCGCAGAGGTGGTGCTGGTGTCAGAACTCTACCTTAACCCCTCACTGTCAGTGTCTGTTCTCCAGCAGGACAGTGAGCTCCAGGAGCATTGCTCACTGCCCGTGTACGTGTGTGGGGTGGTGGGCAGGTGGGCAGGGCTCCTACACAGATAACTAGGGTGCCCCACAGGCATGAGCGATCTGCTTGAGGACGTGAATACAGGAACAGCTCCAGCGGGAGAAAGCGTGGCGGTGCCTCAGAGAGCACAGGTAGCCTGGGAGTCAGCCGGGAGCAGGGGCAGACGCTCGGGCGGCTCGGTTCCGGGACCATGGGAGCCCCCGGGAGACCCTGGCTCGCTGTGTTTTCCAGGCATGAAGTGCTGGACCGTCTGGCCAGGGAGCGGGACGCAGTGCTGGCCTCTGTGAAGGAGGCCCACGCGGAGCAGCTGCGGGCACAGGAAGCGAGGGTGCTGGAGCTGCAGGCCCACAGCGAGAGCCTGGAGGCACGGCTGCGCCGGGCTGAGTGGGGACAGGCCGACGCCGTGAGGGACCACGAGGCCGTTGTTGCCCGGTGAGTGTGAGGTGCCCCTGAGCGCGGTCTCCAGGAGGGGCGAGGGGCTCCCCGACTCCTGGAGACACAGCGTGGGGGAGACACTGGTTTCAGCATTTCCTTTGGGGACAGGGCGTGTGTGAGTGTGTGCGAGTGTACAAGTGTGTGTACATGTGAGTGTGTTGGGGGCCCGGTGTGGGGTGGGGCTGGGTTGAGCGAGCGAGACCCCCGTGCTGTTCATGGACATCCCTTCGCTGTGCAGACTTCGAGAGGAGGTGTCGGCTCTGAAGTCCGGCTGGGACGCGCAGGTCGCTCAGCTCTCCCAGGAGGTGGTTGCCAAGGACCTGCAGGTTCATGCTCTGCAGGAGGAGGGGCTGCAGCTCAAAGCCCAGTCAGCCCGGCTCCAGCAGGACATCGACAGGTAACTGTCCCAGGCAGCGTCCTTACGGAGCACCGCCAGGGCAGGCACGGTCTAGCGCTGAGGACATGGTGCTGCACACCGCCAGGCTGTCCCTGGAGCGTCCGTGGGTGTGAGCAGGGGCGTGGGAGCCAGCTGCGAGGAGGCCTTCCTCCTGGGTGTTTGACCTGCAGCAAGTGGCAGAGGCCCAGGCCAGGAAAAGAAGAGGGCCCTCTGTGCCCAGCCTCGGCCAGGGAGGTGATGGCCGCCAGGCTGGGGTGGCCAGATGGGCTGGGGGAGACAGGTTGGGTCGAGGACTGGGCTGGTGCCTTGGAGATGCCAGCCTGCCCGGTTGGAGCAGGTTTGAGGGTACATGGGCCCAGCGAGGGAGGGAGGGGAACAGCAGTCATGGGGAGAGGTTAGCTTTTTTCATTAGGAAGATCGTATGGCTTCTTTGTATGCCGGTGGGGACGCAGGGGGAGGCTGGAGGGGAGGGGAGCAGGGAGCTTCTCGAGGTACCAAGTCCTGAGGGCGCCGGGCGCTGGGTGCTGCTTCCCAGGTACAAGCAGCAGCTGGCGGCGGCCGTGGACAGGGAGCGGAGCCTGGAGCGGGAGAAGGTGCAGCTGGCGCTGGACTGGCAGTGCCGCTGTGACACCACTGAGCGGGACCAGTACCGCAGGTCCGAGGACCTGATCCAGGGCCTGACCGCGGCCAGGGAGCAGGTGTGTGTGAGGCCCCCGGCCGCCAATCTCACGCTCATCTTCTCAGAGAAAGTGGTGGGCAGGGGGCTGGGCTCTCACCAAAGTACTTTTAAATTCGAAACAGTAAACCTCACCAAGCAGTTTGATGTGTAATGACAATTAGTCGCAGAACTGTGGCCCGCCCTGGCAACCAGCCTCTCGGGGCGTGTTCTAAACTGTGGTGAAAACGTCTGACACAACCTTTGCCAGTTCAGTGTTTTTCATGTGCGCCTTATCGGTCACATCATCACGCTGTGCAGCCACCGTCCTTCACAGCGTCTTATCACGCCGACTTTGGGGGGTGCTGCCGACGCCCCCACCCCAGGTGCTGGGAGGCGCACGGGCAGCTGGCTTCACGGGGGCTCCAGGGCACAGCGTTCTCCCCGGGAGGAGCAGGTGTCCCCTGGCTGGCCCTGCTCCCTGTGGCCCACACAGGAACGGGGCCCCCACCCCCAGGCTGTGGCCAAACTCGAGGAGGCAGAGCGGAGGCTGTGTGACAAGGAGGAGGTGCTGAAGGCCTTGGCCCTCGAGAGAGACCGGGCGGTGCATGCGCTGAGGACACACGGGCTCCTTCCCGAGAGGGAGGCTCAGGTGAGAGTGGCCCCCACCGGCACCTGTCCCCGAGCCCTCCCTCCACCCACCCGCCTCTGAAGCTCCCCCTAACGTCCGTGGGAAGCCGGGCCGCCCCGTCCGCACCTCGGTCAGCGTTTAGACGCTGGCTGCACAGGCAGGCCGCGTCGAAGCGTGAAGAACTCAGCTCAGCTTGGGAATCTGCACGACCCCCCACCAAGTGCCACGCCACGGCAGACGGTGATCGCAGGCCCCCAGAGCACTGCCCTTGTGGCTCTTGGTCTTGCTTGGCAATGGTCCTGGCAGGGAGCATGCCAGGTGCTTGTCCTGTGCCAGGGCCTGTCCCCGAACATCCTGTCTGCCAGCTTGTTTCATCTTCCTTGAGCTCAAGGTGGTGATGGGGGCTGAGGCACGGGCGTGTGGTGCCCCCTGCCCGGGAGGATCCAGTTTGCAAGGAGCAGAGCTGGGGCCGTGCCCCACAACCCCCCCCACACAGCCGTGATCACGGGTCAGAGGGGTCGGGTCAGAGGGGCAGCACGAGGCCGGGAGGGGAAGAGAGATCAAGTAAGAATGATTCTAGGCGGAAGCCCCATGGGGCAGCTCTGCTCTGTTGTGTGGGGTTGCTATGAGTTGGAATTGATTCATTGGCAGTGGGTTTGGTTTTGGTTTGTTTGCGATTGACTTTGTTTTTCCTGCCACCCTGTTGGGCTTTAAATGGGTGCATTTGCCCACAGCCAAGCTCACTGGTCCATTGCCCTGACCAGTGGACACACCTCTGCGGAGACATAGGCTGTTTCCGTCACCCCCAAAGAGCCCCTTGCCCTCCTGTTGGTGCCACCTCCCGCCCCAGAGGCCCCACTGCTCTGACTGCCCTCCCCATGATTCGCTGTGTCCCGTGGGTGGCTTGTGGTGGAGGGGCTTAGGGCAGGGTCCACAGGGCACTGCGGAGGCCGTCTGCATGGAGGACGCACGTTCACCACCTTAGGACCGTTTGTAATGCGCCGTCCACACACTCAGGTTCGCTCAGCACCTTCGTCCTAAGGAGGGTGCAGGCCCTGCTCCGTCTTCTCCCGAGGGTCCAGGTTCTAGGGCAGACAGGTCCCACTGTGGTTCTGTCTCTGCCGTATGTGAGACGTGTGTGAGAAAGGAGGTGGGTGGGCCCCAGGGTGGACGGAGGCTCCTTTGGGCGGTGACATATGTGGGATCAGGAAGGCTGGTGCTTTGGGTGGAAAGACAGCTCACAGAGAGGGAGGAGCTGGGGGCTGGGGCACGGGGAGCCTCGGGGGGGTCAGGGCGTGAATGGCCTGGAGCGGGGTTGGGACACTGTGGCCCACCACACCAACGCTGGCCGTGGCACCTTGGACAGAGGCCAGATGACTTGGTTTTTAATCGGAATGGCGCTTCCTGTCCCGCTGCTCCCATGGTCTGTGGCACCGACTGGGAAACGCGGTGTGCTCTGAGACGTCCAGACCAAAGCCTGGTCCCCCAGGAATGCAGAAAAGTGAGGCCCTTGTTTATCCCAGAGATGCTTGTCTTCACTGCGGTGATGAGCGCCAGGGCCAATGGAGGCTTTCCTCTCGTCAAGACTCTCCCACACTGAGCCTGCCTTGGCCCCCACCCACCCAGCACCCCGTGCGCTGCAGCGAACCCGGCATGTCAGCTGTGACGCTGCCTTGGCCCCCTCCCAGGCCCCCGTACGCTACGGCAAACCCGGCATATCAGCCATGACGCTGCCTCGGCACCCACCCCAGCCCCCCACTGCACTGCGGTGAACCCGGCATGTCAGCCGTGACGCTGCTTCGGCCCCCACCTACCCAGCCACCCTGAGAAGCCAGTGACCAGCTGTGGTGAAGCCACCCAGGAGCTTGGCCGAGGTTGGCACACGCCCAGTGGAGTTAGCACGGCCTTCTGAGCGGTGAAGGGAGCTGGCCCTACTCACTGATTGCATAGCTGACTTCTGTCCCTCGTAAAAGCCCTTACCCACCTGCCCAAGGTCACGGAGCCCCCAGGGTTCCCTGGAGGAGCTTTCTGGGCAGGGCGGGCATACCTCCCAGGCCCTCAGTGGTCGGCCCCAGGAGGACAGACGAGAAGCGGGCCCTAACCGCTCACTCACATGCTGTGGGCTGTCCCCTCCCACCGCTGCTGCATCTGCCAGCTCAGGGCTGTGTCCCTGCTGGCGGGCTTGCCTGAGGGTGGCCCCCGGCTGGGCGGTTGTCCCGGTGTGCTGGGGCTGGGCGTCTACAGCCCAGCCTTGTGTCCACCCTGAGGGAGGCAGCGTCCAGCCAGCTGAGAAGACAGACACGAGAGCTGACTCCAGCCTGGCTGCTCCTGGCCCTGGCGAGCTTGTGGGACCGGTGAGCCGGGCGGGGCCCCTGGGGGGACACATGGCATGGAGCCCCAGAGCAGAAGGGGGACTGGTCTCCAGCAGTGCTGCCCTCAATCCTGCAGTGCCCTTGGGGGTCACTGCCAGTGCAAGGGTCGGGTACCGCCCATCTGCGCAGCCCAGGACACCATCTCTGGGGCACAGGAAAGGAGACAATGGCTCTTTTTCCCTGGTGGCCATCCCCCAGCCATCTCGGCTGCACTTCTTCCCCCAGGCTGTCTCAGAGCTTCCACCCCGCAGGCCTGGGAGGCTGTCAACTGGCTCGTTTCTTTGTGAAATAAACAGTGGGCCTTAGAAATGGTTTGGGGTCAGGGTCAGTCAGAGCCCCACCCACCACCCCACCCAGGGCCTGGGTGGCAGGACCTTTGACCCTTGGGGCCCTCAAGTGAGGCTGCTGTGCCCACACGGAGCATGAGCTGCCCTCTGACCATCGGGTCACCAGAGAAGAAGTGGAAACCCCCCGGGACATCTGCAGGTGTGAGCTTGGGCCAACCCAAGGGGGGGGGGCGCTTTGAAGCCAGGACTGGGGGAGCGTGCTTCACAGGTTTCTAGCTGACAAGTGGAGTGTGAGGTGATAGCAAACCTGCCTTCCTGCCCACCGGGCACTAATAGCGAGGAGAGCACCCCGTAAAGGGAAGACTTTGGGGTAGGTGGCTGCCGTTAGTGGGCTCTTAGGCTCCAGAGAGGAGGTGGACGCTCAGTTGGGAGCAGCAGGGGGGTCTGCTTGTGAACTGAAGCACCGGCTCTTCCTGTGCAAAGGCCTCACCACGGGGGTGGGGTGTCTCAGGAAGGGGTGGGGAGGGGAGGGGAGGCTGCAGCTGGCTGTGAGATCCAGCAGGCTTCAGAACAGTCATTTGAGGTCCATACCGTTTGCGAGGTCTACCCACAGGGCTTTACGAGGTTGATATGGTCAACCCCATTGACAGATGAGGAAACTGAGGCACAGAGAGGGGGTTGCCTGCCCCATAAGTGGTAGAGGGAGAATTTGAATGGAGCCAGGCCAGCACAGCGTCATGTCCCAGCCCTTCTGCCCTCTGGTGCTGGAAGCAGCCTGTGCCATTCTGCCCAGCAGAGGGTGGGATATTCCCCGTGGTCAGGAACACGCGTGGAGGTGGGAAGGCTAGGTATCTGCAGAAGAAGGAGTCCCCATGTCTGGAGTGAAGGAAGTGAGCCGTGAAGTCATGGGGGCAGGTCCGGAAAGGCAGGGGGGTGGTGGGAAGGCAACAGGTAGGAACTGGGGTTCAAAAAGGAGCGGTGGCTTTATTCTGGGCCTGAGAGTGATACCCGGCCACGGCAGAAGTTTTCAGAGCTGTGGTTCAGCATCACGGTCTTCGGAATTGACCGAGGGTCAGACCAGCTCAGCCACTGTTTGGCTCTTGGAGCCTCTGCTTGTCACTGTGAAGAGAGGGCAGCTTTCCCATGGCATCAGTGCGGGAAATGGGTGAGATAGCATAGGTAACGTGCTTAGTGGGACCTAGAACATGGCCTCATAGGCGGCTGCACTCATGAACCATGGTCATCATGACCGGCAGTGTGGTGGTCTGGGGCCTGCCACGCATTTGATCTTTACTTGGGGAAATTGTTTCTCAATCTGTGAAGTGGGTCCCCCTCTCAGTGTGGTTGTAGTGTCAAAGAGATCCAGCCCTTGGTCAGTGTGACACCTGGTGACCTGGCAAATGTGGGCTAGTGTTATTCTTGACAAAGAAAGAAATAGAGATCAGCCACAGTCCTGCCCACTCAGACGTGGTGATCTGTTTCCTTCTAGTCTAGTCTGGTCTATGTACATCTGTATATATCACCTATATTCCTGTGTTTTTATGTACAGTAAAACCTGCAAAAGGTGGAACTTGTGTAAGGCAGAAACCTGTCAGAGAAGGAAAACTTAAGTATTTTCCACTAACAGAGCAATAGAAAAGTGGCAAGACTGCACGCTGTCAAAGGCGGAAAACTTGTGAGACCAGGAAAAACAAGGCAGTCCCGTCAAGTTCCGGCTCTCATGGGTTTCACTGTAGTTGAGGTCATGCTATATGTCTTTAATCCTTTTTTCACCTACGTTCCACCATAAATATTTTCCTATGTCATTACGTTCTTCCGAAACATAATTTAAGTGGTTGTACATTTTACCATATGGCCGTAATTGGCCCAGCCATCCTTCAGTGTTGGCCATTTCGATTGTTTGCAAATGTTGTTGTTGTAATCCTGAGGTGGGCACTCCTGGTCAAAGGGTCAGTTCTGTTTGCAGTCTCCTTTTCCCAGAGCTGTTTAATGCCCTCCTCTCATGAGCCTGGGCGGATTTCCTTCTGGTTAGCACGCAGGAGCCCACGAAGGAGCTGGCAGCAAGTTAGAAAGTCAGAGCATCAGGGAGGGAACCAGGCCTGGCTTCCATTTTGTCCCTGCGGCCTGCGGAGCTGGAGAGCACGCGCGTGTCCTGTAGGAAGACGTATAGTGCTGGGTAGGCAGGCCAGCCCCTCAGGCAGCCTTGAAGCAGAGAGCTGGTACTTTGGCCAAGCCACTGCCTGTGGAGGACGGGGGTCTTGGTTGAGCTGAGACACTGAAAAGGAACAAGAAATGAGCACGTGTCAATGCACTCCTAAATGCCATCGCTTTTACACACCTCTTGTGTTCCCATAACTGTCCTGTGGGGTAGTATAATTATCCCCATATTTTTTTTGGGCAGGTGACAGTGAGTTTCAAGGACCTTGTTACCCAAAGATAGTAGGAGTGAGTTTGGGTACAGATAGCAGAAGAGAATTTGATCTGCCCTCCCCTCACGGTGACAGTTCAGGGCAGGGACAGCGGCAACTTCCCATGCCCCAGGGCTGGGGCTCCTTTGGTTCTGGTGCGGGCCGGGCAGCAGGCAGAGGTGGGCTGGAGTAGGGCCCGAGCGGCCTGGGAGAGGAGTCTGGATTTTTTGGCTGGAATGTTGCAAGAGTGGGCCATGTTCTTCTTGCACCCTGTTGGGTGGCATGTGATAACTTTGATTGCTTCATTAAGAGGGGCCTCACTGTGAAGTTGCTTTTTAAAATACTTGTAATCTTTAAGTATTTTGTGGGGAGATACTTTGAGACTATGTAACACCCCCTCCTGTTATTCTTTCACCCAGTATTTCAGCATCTGTTGTTTCTTGCCTGGATTACTTACCACCATGGCTGCCAAATGGTGATTTGCTCAACCTGTCATCCCGTCCGTGCGTGTGGGTTGGCATCCTGTTGTAAGGAGGCGCTTCCGCTTCTTCCCATTTATTTGTGTGTCTGTTTGTGGACATCAGTGTAGACTCATGGGTTTCCATTATTCAGGGGATCATAATCCATTACTATCATTGCTTTCTCAATTTACTTCTTAAGCTGTATGCAGTGTATAATTCTGGGAGTTTTGGCAAAGACAGGGTAATGCAACCATCACCATCATGGAGACACAGAACAGTTCCATCACACCGAAAAATCTCCCTCGCACTGCACCTTTGTAGTCAGCCCCTCCCACCACCCCGAGCCTCACCCTGAGAACCAGCGGTTTGTTCTCTGTCCCTCCGGTGTCGCCTGTTCTCGGATTTCATATAAAGGGCGTCACACGGTGTGTGGTGTTTTGAGTCTGGTCGCTTCCACTCACACAGTGCGTTTGAGGTCCCCCACATTGCTACCTGCCTCAGTGTTCCATCACTCTTTATAAGTGCTGAGTAGTGTTCCATGGTAGGGACGTGCCACTGTTTGTTTGCACATTCACCTGTTGAAGGACATTTGGGTTGTTTCTAGTTTTTGGTGATTGTGAATCGAGTTGCCATGAATATTTGCTTACACAGGTTCTTGTGTGAATATAAGTTTTCATTTCTCGTGGGTGAACACCTCGGAGCACGATCGCTGGGTCATGTGTCGAGTACATGTTTACCTTGCAAAGAAACCGCCCAACTGATTTTCAAAGTGGTGTACCGTTTTGTATTCCTACTAGAACACAGTTGCTCCGTATCCTTGCTGGCGCTCGGCATTGTCATTTTTTAAGTCATTTAGGAGTACGTACTGACATCTTAGCGTGGTTTAACTTGAGTTTTCCTAATGACTAAGGATGTTGAGCGTCTTTTCATGTACTTATTTGGCGTGCCTCCGTCTGCTTTCATGAAATGTCTGTTCAAGTCTTTTGCTCATTGTTTTATTGTTTATTTTCTCGTTGTCGAGTTTTGACAGTTTTGACAGTTCTCTGAGTTTTAGCAGAGCGTAAGGTTTTCATTTTTCTGAAGTCCGATTTCTTGTTTCTTTTATGGATTGTGGTTTCAGTGTCACATTTCAAAACTCTGCCAAACCCAGAGTCACAGAGATTTTCTCCTGTGTTTTTTCCTGAAGGTTTTATAGTTTAACAGTTCACACTGGGGTCTGTGATCGAGTTTGAGTGAATTCCTACCTGAATGTTGAGATACGGCTCAAGTTCTTTTTGTGGATGTGGATTTCAGTTGTCCCAGCACCACTTGTTGAAGAGGCTGCCCTTTCTCCACTGAGCTGCCTTTGACCCTTCGTAAAAAAATCACTTGGCTCTACTCGTGTGGCTGTGTTTCGATAGTTTTCATTTCTTGTTTGACAGACACCCTTACGGCATCATGAAGAAGCAATAAGTCAAGCTTTTCCGTCGAGTGAGATCCAGCAACTACAAGAGCAGAACATGAGCTTGCGGAATGCTATTGCTCAGATGAGGAGGGAAATGGAGGCGCTGAGTGATCAAATTCTTCCTTCTGCCCACTTTGGAGAAAAGACCTCAGATACAAACCAGCCTAATCCAAATGCTGCAGCAGATACTGCCACTCCTGGTGTGTGGGTGTGTGTGTGAGAGAGAGACGGACAGACAGACAGACAGATAGAAAGACAGAGGGAGAGGAAGGAAGGGGGCAAGCACAGATCTCTACTTGGTTCAAAACGGTCTCAGAGTCATATAAATTAACATTCCCTTTAATAAATCAAAGTATGACAGTGCTTTTCCTTTAAGAGAAGGGGTCTTAAGTTTTGTATCTAAGACAGAACTTTTCATTGGTAAGTGGAAGGGAAAACGTGAAGAATGCGTGCGGCACACTCAGGCTGGACAGGACTGTTGAACACGTGCTGTCACAGAGGCGCTGGTGGTGCACCAGGCCTCCTACCCACAAGGGGGTGTCATATGGTGTAGCTGAGGTGGGCACACCACCCCCCTGTGCCTTGTCCATAGCGGAGGAGCCGCAGAGGTCGTGAACGGGTGGACAGGAGTCTCTTAGTGTCCCTGTGCCAAGGTATACGTTGTCCACAGTGTGCCCAAAAGCAGGTGGGGTCGAGGCAGGTATAAGTGCAGTCGTGCGCTGCATAGTGTCCATTCGGGCAACGTCCGAGCGCGTGCACATCCGTGGCCCCATGAGGTTATGATAGAATTCAGAAATCCCTACTGGAGAACGGGACATAGCAGACGTAACCAAATGTAGTGAACAGAACAGCTTCCTAAACGCAACACGTGTATCTCGTGTCTCTTGTATGCAAAGCAATTGCACTTCCAGGTGTATAAATGGTACAGTAAGTTGTAGAGGGAGATTATTTGCCCCAGCAAATAATATGGTGTTCACGCAACGTCCAAATCACATAACAAATCGTGTACGTTGTGTCGCATGACTGTATTTGCTCCTGGTCCCTAGACCCTTAGAGTACATGGAGGCTGAGCTGGTCTGAGGGTGGTGCCCTCTGGTGGCTGAAGGAGGGAAAGATTTATAGGCTATCTTGGTTTCCTAGGCCCGCCGTAATAAAAGGTACCACAAGTGGGTGGCTTTAAAGAACAGGGTTTGTTGTCTCACAGATTCAGAGGCTAGGAGTGCAGATCAGGGCATCAGCTTGAGGAGAGGGTCCCTCCTTGTCAGTAGCCCTGGGCGGTCCTTGATGTTCTTTGGTTACAGACAATCCTTGGCTGTAACCATGGCGCCTGTCTTCCCTTTGGTGTGTCTGTGTCTGTTCTGTTCTCTTGTCAGACACCTCTCGGAGGGATAGGTTTAGGACCCGCCCCACTCTGGTATGTGCTCATTAACATAACAAGAAAACTCCTCTTTCCAAACAGGGTCATATTTACAGGTACAGGGGTTAGGACTTCCACATAACTTTTGGGGGACACAGTTGAATCTATAGCACAGTCATGGCCCATGGATAGTGTGAGCTCTTGAAAACAGCTGTCAGGGTCCGGTAGGCAGGAGAGGACGGGATGGTGAGCAAGCAGGCACCAGAGGGCTGGTAAGTGCTGCGCCTTTATGCTATGGATGTGAGCACACATGTGTGCATTTATTCGCTTTTTATTTTGTTTTTGGCAGATTATGTTCTGGCCCTCGAAGCAGAAATACGAAATCTAAAGCATAAATTTAAAACACTAGAAGAACAGTTAGAAGATATCTTAGAGCCTTCGAAGATGTCGTCTTTTGCTGAAGTTCAGCCCGATGTCTGTGCTGCAGACAGCGCTGCTGGCGAGGGTCCCATCTTATGGGGTGAGTGTGGCCACAGGTTGCACCCCGCTGGGCCTGTCTCTCCTTGGTCCTTTGGCTCCAGCAAGTCGTCTTTCCTGGAGTCTGTCTTTGGGCTCGTTGGTGTTGCTGGGGTGTGGGCAGCTTTAGCACTCAGGCTGGGATATATGTGCAGGAAAGAAAAAACGGGATAAAGCAAGGAGCTCACTGCCAGGTCGCCCCTTGAATCCTGAGGTCCCCTCATCCTCACCTTTCAGAATTGTCTCATCACTGCTCCTTACGTTCTGTCCTTGGCTTTTAGTCGTGATGAGTGAGGGGGTGGGGTGGAACACACATACCCCATCTTGTCAGAACCAGAAACTTCAGTCAGCTTTTGACCGCTGAACCAACTTGCACTTCTGGAAGAAACTCAACGTGTTGTGATATGTTCTTTTTATATATTGCTGGATTTGGATTGCTAACATCTTGCTCAGAATTACTATTTTTCATTCATGAGTAAGACTGGCCTGTAATTTTCCTTTCTCATAATGTCCAAGTTTGGGAATCAAGGTTATTCTGGCCTCATTAATGTGTTGGGAAGTGTTCCCTATTTTTCTGAAATAGTTTGTTTCAGATTTATGTCAATTTTTCCTTAAACCAGTTGGTAGAATTCAACTTCGAAACCTCCTGGGCCTGGGGTTTTCCTTGTGAGAAGGTTTTAGATCGTGAGCTCAGGTTTCTCTCCTAGTTACAGGACCACCCAGATTTTGTTGTGTCATCTTTTATATTTTACTAGAAAATTGTCCATTGGATCTAAATTTTTAAATTTTTTGACGTAAGGTTGCTTAAAGTATCCTTCCATGATTTTTAAAATGTGTCTCGGATCTGAAATGATAGCCCCTTTTTTCATTCATTATCTTGGTTGTTTGTTTCTGCTGTCCATCTCTCACACTCGTTGTCTTTTTCTTGCTTAGTCTTACCAGGAATTTATCTTTTTTTGTTCCCACCAAAAACTCAGTGTTGGTCTTGCTGATCTTCTATTGTACATTTATTTTCTGTTCCTCCTACTTTATTTGGTTTTAATTTGGTTGTTCTTTTTCTAATTTTCTGAAAGGAACATTTCACCTGTCTGAATTTCAGCCTTTCTTATTTTCCAAACGAAGCATCTAAGGCCGTTAATACCCCTGGAAGGACAGCTTCAGATGTATTCCTTACGTTTTGATAGGTAGTGTTTTTCTTATTATTCAGTTCGATATATTCTAGTATCCATGGTGATTTCGTCTTTGACCCACGGGTTGTATGGATGTTTCTTCTTGATTCTGAACAGACGACCCTGTATTTAGTGGGGAGGCTAGCGCAGGCTGGGTTCCGCTCGACACTTGGTGGTGCTTGGGGTTTTCCCTCCGTAGGAGAGAGCAGAGGAATATTCCTGGATAACACTCGCCAGAATCCCTAAAGAGAGGAAAGTGTGAGTCCCTGGAGGCCTTGCTGTGGTGGCCGGGGCCTAACGGGTATCTTCTCTGCAGGGGCCCCCCCTCAGGCCGAGGTGGCGCCCACCGTGCTGGCGTGCAGGAAGCTCGCAGGCAGGGTCCGTCTGCTGGACTGCCTGGTCTCGAGGCTCCGACAGAAGGTAAGGCCGAAGGTCAGAGCTCACGTCCCGCAGGCTGTCACACTGCAGCGCCGCCATCAGCTCAGGGCCGACGGGGGGAGTGAGTCCTGGCGACCACGCGCGCGCCACGGGACCCTTGGGCGGGGCGTCCTGTGCTCACCTGATCTCGTGTGTGTGAGTGTGTCTCTGTGTGTGTACCGTATGCCAGGTATGTGTGACCTGTGTGTGAGAATGTATGTATGTCTCTGTGGTACATGATTGTGATTGTGTGTGTATGTACCATATGCCGGGTATGTGTGACGTGTATGTGAGAGTGTGTGCTGTGTGTGTGCCCTATACTGTGTGTGTGATGTGTATGTGAGAGTGTGTGCTGTGTGTGTGTGGTTCGTAGAAGGCGCGCAGTCAGACCCTGGTGATGAGAGCAGAGGCCTGGAGCGGGAAGGGCAGCGCGTGCGGGTGGGCCAGGTTCCCAGCGTCCCCGGGGACCCGTGTGGACTCCAGCGGCTAAGCTGGTGGCAGGAGTACCGACATGCGGGTGCTTGTCTCTCGTCGGTGCCCGCGCCCTCACAGCCCGAGGGCCAGGTCATGGTCAGACGAGGCTGGCCGCATCCCAAATCCCAGCGCTCTCCGCCCTGTTGCACGTGGATCGCCACAGGGTCACAATATTTGTTTCTCCAGTGAGAATTTGCTTCCCATTTTCAGATCTTTAAACATAGGGTCTGTTTAGTTTCTGTCTGTCTATGGAGGTCAGAGCAGCCCATGAGAGTTGAAGGCTGCTTAGTGTAAAAACATTTCCCCATGTCTTAAGTACTTTGTTTGACGGTTTGGTTCGTTTTTCTCCAAGGGGACAGGGCACGTGCGTCATCACCGTCTCTGGGTACAGAAGGCTCTGCCCCCACACAGACCCTCGGCGTCCCTCTGACTCCTCCCCTGGGGGCCCACAACGCTGGGCCTGGCTGGATGGAAACGTTCTGACTTTTACCCGGGGGCGAGCAGGAGGCACTGGGAGGGGAGGCCCCAGCAGGGAGGCTTCCTCCCTGACCCCAAGTGTGGCGCTGCCCCAGGCTGCCCCTCACATCACCCTCCTGGACGGCCCCGTCCTGGGGCGGCACGCGGCCTGATACGGAGCTGTGCTTTCCACCTCGGCTCCTTTAGCACTTTACCAGGATCTGCTCTTGTGCTAGAAGAATCGCTTTTCTAGATGAATTATTTCCGCCAGGATGAGTTGTCTCCCCAGCCTTCACGAGAGCTAGCCACCCTGAGGAGGCTTGCGGAGATACAGCTCACGCGCGCCCAGCTCACCACTTACAGTGACCCTCAGTGGTTTTAAGTGCATTTACAGAGCTGTGCAACCAGCACCGTAGTCAGCTCCAGAACATTTTATCACCCCAAAAAGAAACTGTTACTCCCCATTTCCCTCCAGCCTCCCGGCCCCAGCCAACTGCTAATCTGCCTCTGTCTCTGGGGATTTGCCTGTCATGCAGGTTGAGGCCTCTTGCGTCTGGCTTCTTTCGCTCAGCATAACATTTCAAGGTTCATCCCTTCTTAGCATGTGTCAGAACTTCGTTGCTTTTTATGGCTGGATATGTACAAACCACATTTCATTTATCCACCATCCGTTGATGGACACCTGGGATGTTTCCACCTTTTGGCTATTGTGAATAGTGCTGCAGTGAACATTCATGTACAAGTACCTGTTTGAGTCCCTGCTTTCAAGCCTCTTGGGTCTTATACCTCGAGCGGAATTGCTGGGTCATGTGGTGATTGTATGTTCAGTCATTCGAGGGACTACCAGGCTGTTTTCCACAGCAGCTGCCCCATTTTACATTCCCACTGGCAATGGATGAAGGTTCTGATTTCTCCACATCCTCGCCAGCACTTGTCATTGTTTTTTGTTGTAACCATCTTGGTGTGTGTGAGGTGGTTTTGATTTGCATTTGCCTGCGACTGATGACACTGAGCATCTTTCCTGTGTTTGTTGGCCACTTGTGTATCTTCTTTGGATGTGTCTGTCCAGATCCTTTGTCCGTTTTTAAATTGGATTGTTTGTCTTTTTGTTATTGAGCTGTGAGAATTCTTTACACGTTCTAGATTCAAGTCCCTCAGCAGATCTATAATTTTCAAACATTTTCTCCCATTCTGTGGGTTGTCTTTTCACTTTCTTGATAGTGTCCCTTGAAGCACAGAAGTTTAAATTTTGATTAACTTTGAAGCAGAGCTTTGGGGCCACTGCCCTTTGTTGCTGTGGACAGGGACTTCCCTCCTGACAGCCTCAGCCCCTCCCCCTTCCTGCCCTTTGATGCCCCTGCTACCTGCACCTATTAGGGGGCCTCAGTTCCTGCCTGGGATTCGCGTTCAGGGAGAGGGTTTGAGGCTCCTCCCCATCGCCTTGGGGCCCAATGTGGGCTCTGCCCCAGCTGCCTGTACCCCCACATCCCTACAGCCCTGAGACTCAGCTGCCCCAGGGGCCTCACCCTCGGGATGAGGGAACCTACCAGCCGGCCAGGGAGAGTGTCTTCCCTACTTCCCACCTCTCTGCTCTTCTGGTGTGCTCCCTGGCCTCCCTGGGACCTGCTCCCTCAGACCTGCCCCCTCAGATGTGCCCCAGACCCCTGAATCCTCTCCCTCCTGACCCACCTCCTGGACAACTCTAGGTGCTGCAGAAGCCCCCAGAGATGGATGCTGTCCGGCTCCAGTTACCCCACGAGGTGGACCAGGCGCACGTGGAGGTCTTGGAGCTGGGCAAGCAGGTGGCTGAGCTGGAGAAGCATCTTGGCACCACCAGGAAGGAAGGCGGCGAGGCAGTGGGTGGGACACCAGAGACCACGGCCACCAGGAGACAGGTGAGCAGATACCCAGGGGTGTACAAGGACCCTGCAGGAGCCATGACTAGGAGCAGACTGAAGCAGATGTAGCCCCTGGCCCCCTGCTCAAGGAAATCCTGGGCGGCCAGGTGTGGCTCAGTGTCTCAGGACGAGGGTTCAGAGGGAGATGAAGGGCAGGAATGTGGTGGGGCCGTGGGGTGGGGCAGGACAGGTGTCTGTACCTGCTGGAGAGTCATGCTGTCCCCAAGGCCCCGAGATCCCTGGTCCCCACAGTCCTGCCCCGGGGGCCTTGCCTGGTCTGCTGGCCCTGCAGGGTGGTCCCTCCCTTTGCTGTCGCCCCAGCGTTGCTCATGTCCTGGCTCAGCGTGGAGCACGGCTGACACTCTTCTAGCAGGCAGGGCCCAGCCCCGCCCCCAGCCTGTTCAGAGTGCAGGACGTCATGTCAATGAGCACAATTGAATAATTAAGGTATCAGTTTGCATGGAGGAACTCAACCCTGACCCCAGTTCCTGGGCCAGTGGCCAGCCGATGCCGCGTTCCTCATATGCACGATCCCGGATAGCGCCCCCCTACTCAGTGAACTTGAATGCCAGGATGACCTCAGGTCACCCCCTGGGGTGCACAGGAAGCATGCGCGCCCTCCCTGGCTGGGCTCACCAGGGCCCACCAGAACAGCTGCACAGCAATCCAAGCCCCTGGGGAAGAGGCCTATGCTGGGTGCTAGGCGCCGGGCTGCTCACGTTGGGGGTGGTCACAGCACGGAGAGGGGTGGCAGAGACTGGGGTGCTGCCATGGCCACGCGTGATTGGATCTGGCCGTATCTGTGGGCACGTGTGCTTCCAGCGTGCCTGAGAGGACCTGGAGGCAGAGACTCCCAGGAGCCATGAGCACACCCAGGCCCAGAGCCTCCTCTGTTTCTTGTGCACTCACAGAGCCAGGCTCCATGGAGAAGCTCCAGGGATGCAGGAATCAGCCTGGAGGGCTCCGTGGACCAACGGGCAGTCAGTGATGGTGGGAGGGAGGTCGGCCAGGGAGGAAGAGGAGAGCATGCATCCACATGTCCATCCACGTGTGCGTCCATCCATGTGTCTGTCCATGAATGCATCCTGCATGGGTAGACAGGCAGGGAGGAAGCTCATCCCTGCAGTGAAGGTCAGCTGTCAGCGTACGGGTCCGTCAGCGGGCTTATCAGACCTGGATGGAGTCTGATGAGAAACAGGATATTTTACAGCCTTGAGTCTCTCCCAGAAATTACTTATTAGTGACAAAGGTGAATAGTGAGTCTTCAGTGGAGAAATGTGGGGGCCACCACTTAACCAAGTGAACAAAGCCAATGTCACCAATATCGGGACAGACGGACACCCCACAGCTCTGCACAGGACACGCCACAGGGGACACGGTGTCCCTTCTGGGGCCCCTGCGAAGGTGCAGACCCTGGATGTAACCTCGAGGATGTGTCAGACGAACCCACACTGAGGGGCGTGCTACAGTTGTCAGCATCATGAGGACAAATGCAGGTTCAGGAACGTTCTGGAAAAGGAGACAAGAGCCTCAACAACTGAATGACTGTGGGATCCCGGGTGATCAGGGACATTCCTGGGACAGTGGGCCAAATGTGAAATGTGGCCTAGATTGCAGGGCTGTGTCCAGGTGGCACTTCCAATTTTGATGGCCATGCTGAGGTTACAGAGGAACGTCCTTGTTGCAGTTTAAGGCATGAAGAAGCACAGCGTCTCCAGTTACCCTGAAATGCTTTAGGAAAAAACGTACGGGGGTGGATAATGACGCAAACGGGCAGCTGTTGCCCTGTGAACCTGGGTGGACAGCACGTGGGGCACCTCCTGCTGTCCTCACAGCTCTTCTGTGAGTTTGAAATTCCAACAGATAAAAAGCTACCGCCACCCCCCACAGGAAGAGCCTAGCTTCTCCCTGGGCCTGCTAGCTTCGCCTTTGTACTGTGATCCTGGTGGGGGACGAGAGACCAGTGGGTAGACAGACAAATGCCGTCCCTGGAACCACCTGCTCCTGGGGCTGCAGGGCTACAGCCTTGGGCCTGGCCGTCTGCGTGTGCCCCGGCCACCAGGGGGCAGTGTGTCTCCGTCGTCCGACATCACTGTGGGCTGGGGGTGGCGACATTGGCTGGACCGCATGGAACGTGAGGGTGCAGACCCCTGCTGCTGGCCCTGACAGAGGGCTTCTCTGTGGAAACAGAATTTCAACAAACCAATCTCCTCTTGTAATTGTCCGGGTTTGTCGGGACATCATCGTGTCCTCGCCAAGATGCTGACTTTGAACGCAGAGCAGGGCTGGGCCTCTGGGGTCAGGGGGTGTGGGCCAGCAGCTCCAGACATTCAGCTTGTATCATGGAATCAGTACTCTGGGGAGGAGCTGTAGAAAGGTATCACAGTAAACTGAGGACTTGACCAGTCAGTGATGCCCAGGGAGGCAGCCTCCTGTGACCTCCCAGACACAGGCAGAGGCTCACCGACAGGCCCCCATGCCCAGCTTCTGACCGAGAAGCTGGCTCTGCCAGAGCCTGAGCCAACCACCGCAGCCTGGGCAGCTTCGGAGGTTCTGCTTTAGAAGGAATTTGGTTCTAATCTCTACCTGTTTCGAGGTTTTCTAAATTTCAAATTCTAGGACTGCTCTCCTCACGTCAAATAGCCCACCAGAAGCGTCCCCTCCCTCAGCTGTCCCCTCATCACAGGCCCGAGTTCCCTCCCTCAGCTGTCCCCTCATCACAGAACTGGGTCCCCTCCCCTCAGCTGTCCCCTCATCACAGGCCTGAGTTCCCTCCCTCAGCTGTCCCCTCAACACAGGCCTGGGTCCCCTCCCCTCAGCTGTCCCCTCATCACAG